TGCCAGTGCTGTGATTTGGATCATTGACTCGCATCTCTCGGTTTTGCAGGACTCTACAACCCTCCAGAATTTCAATGGTGGAGCACAATTAATTTGTAAGGAGTTGGCTTTGCAAATATGATGGGTTATAACTGCTTCAGGGAACAGTGGGAGTCATAGGAAATGAGAATAAGCCAGCAAGCATGTGAATAACCTTTGCCCTCCCATCTCCTTACCCCACCATGCAAATTAACATATGACAGACCACATTATATAAACAACTGAAAAGAGCCAAATGGGGGGAAAAAGGAGCACATTAAAAAGCTTCCCAGATGGAAATTTGCCCATTATGCCGTTATTTGATATTCAGAGGAGGCAAGCTGATTAGCTGTAGCCAGTTAGAAAATGACATTAATTGCCAGCTTTACCTGATACTGTCAGACAGCAGCACCATTTTTAAATAAAGATACAAAGTATCGCTATAACAAGTAATGTTATGGATATGTAACATTAATAGAAACTACTACTTGCAGTACATTATGATAACAATAGCTGGCAGCAATATTCATTAATAGCATCCAGTCAGCCTGGGTAATAACACATTAAAATCACAGCATGCCCAGATTACACAGGCAACTGTGGAGCATATTCTACCAGGGGCTTGGCTTGATTTTATCATGGATTTACGTGACAAAAATAATTCCTTTATGCTCAGCTTGAAAAAAAATTCTAATAATAATTTGTATCTAATAGATACAACTGAGTATGTTTTCTGATGCTGAAATTGCACAAAAGTCTGTAGGCTTTCCCATACCATACCGTCACTACTGTAAAATAGAATTGTACATTCAAAATATATGTGGAGAGGTTATTTACTTTGGGGGAAATTAAAAGCTAACCAGGGCCATAATTATAATGAAATAGTGACCTGAATTGTCTCTGCAACAAGCAGTGCACTTTAGAATGATCTGATTTTATTCAAAAAAGAAATGAACCAAGAAGTCTCACTGCCTTCGCTGCAGCTTTAAAGACGGACATAACTGAGGTCCTTACCTTGTTCAAGCTGCGAGCAGCACTATCTTTTCCACCTGGAGTCAAGTTCCGGAGTTGGACATCCAGGAGGCCTACCAGCTGGTCCATGGCACGGACGGAGTAGGTGATGTCTCCAGCATTCAAATGATTCCTGGTTTGTTCAGCCAGCTCTCTAGCAATGTTGGCAGCTGTCTCTCCAGATTTCAACTGCAATTTTGAAAGCAGAGTAAGAAGGAAAACCATCTTAAATAAGTAATTTTATTGGTCTCTGCGGATAACTGTTTTGCATAGAAGTTATAATCATTGAGCCAAGAAATAGTTATTCAGCTCCATCTTCATCTGGAACATTCCCTGAGTTTTCCTGCTAATCCATTTTTTTTTTCCTTACAGTACCTGACTTGAAATTCATGTCTTTATGAAGCTCCTCCTGAGGAATCTTACTTCAAAAACGTGTTCTCACCTTAATTAGTCATTTGGGTGGCTAAGTTTATTTGCTGTATGATTTTTCTCTGTGAGCTTCTAAATTGGATGTTGATGAGTTTGCATTATGAATCCCCAACCATAGTCTAAGTTCTCAGAGGCAAGGAAATTTTCCATTGTGCCTAATTTGGAACTTAGTATACAATGAATACTCACAGGCTGCTACACTGTGAAAATTTTATTCTAAATAAAATCTCTGCTTTTCAAAGCGGTCTTCATCTTCTTTCCTACTTAATAAGAGATTTTGCTCCCAATACACTAGGTAGCAAATTATTGCTGTTTCTAGCATTTTCCTTTTCTGAAACTGTATGCTAACTTTTAAAGTCTATTCTACAAGAATGTATCAAATTGCCAAAAAGCCAAAGATATTCAAAGAGATAAAGGCCAATCCCATAATCATGTGAACATCTCAGATGGCTCTAGGGAATAAGGAGATAGAAATATCTTGCTCTGTTATAACTTAAATATTTTATTATTGTCAGTATTTAGAAAAAGTGTGTGTGTGTGTGTGTATGTGTGTGTATGTGTGTGTGTGTATGTGTGTGTATGTGTATGTGTGTGTGTGTGTGTGTGTGTGTGTGTGTTCCCCCTTTTTTTAAGTAGAGTCCAATACAGAACTTAGGATCACAAACGAAAAGGTCCTCTCTATTTAGGGCAATCCCTCTAATGGATATTCAGAAACCTACAAAAGAGCACAACTAAAACTCCCAGTCGTGCCCTGGCTGGTTGGAACTGTGCACTGAAAACCAGCACATGCCCAGGTTGCTATGCAAGAGGGCGAGATTGAAATAAAGTTATTCTACATATCCTAGCTTACAGACATCGTGAAAATGTCTGGCTCTAACATTTCTTTTACTAAACTCTTCTAAAATTATTTCTCAGAAATAAGCACATGCACACTGAGCAATCTTATGAGTTTTCAGAGGATTAGTAAACTAATGCTTATAGATATTGAAATGGTGGGATTATAGCTAGGATTAAATTAGGTGAGAGGAAACCCTGCAGTTTTCATAAAGTATAATAATTATAACAGAGATGGATAGTATTTACATTTCAAATATTTACACAAGTGAAAACAATTTTCTTTTAAATAAGCTTGACACTTTATGAGATTTATTACATCAAACATTAATTGAGTGCCAAAACAATTCAGAAAAGCGTTACTCCTAAGCGTTTAAGTGTATGGCTGCTACTTCACTATTTTGCTATAAATTTAAGTCAAGTAGGTATGTGAACAAATGTTTCTATCTTACAATTGAAAGAAGGTTAGATAAGTTTAAAGTCTTGAAAAGCCCACCAAGCTCTGATAAAATTAAGAAGCAATTTATTTCCCTTTCATATTAGATCTACAGAGTGAAAAGAATGGGAAAATTACAACCTAGGTGACAGGATTCAACCTAGCCTTCCAGGGCAAACAACTGGCTTACTTTACATTGTAAAATAGCAGCAGTGTTTTTTAGATCTGCACATCCTTCTTTTAAAATTACAGGAAGAACCCTATTTCTCCCAAAATCTGCCAGTAGCTTGTGTACAAACAAAAGAGATGCTCCAATTTGCTAGAAACAGAAAGACTATTTCCCAGTGCCAATCCAGGCACTTCTTTTCTGTATAATAGTTGGACCAAGTAATGAAGTAGGAAGCACGCCTCATTTTATGTGTAAATATGGAAGCTATTCAAAACCATAATCCCATAGAATTTTACACTGAAAAAGACTGGAGAGATTATGCAATGCAATAAACTCCTTGAAGGTACCCAAATCAGAACATATAAACTCCTTTTTTGAAAATCTGAGTCTAAGCAAGAGATGTAGCTGAGGCCAGAGGCTGTGCTTTCCGTAAGCAGTCATTAAGAAAGGGGAGAAATAGGATATTTTGCTACTTAGGTTTGAGAAGACAGAGCTCTGAATTAATTGGTTGGTTTTCAATAAAAACAGGAAAATATTTTTAAGACATTAATATAAAGATGAATCTATCTATGTTTCCATCCATCCATTTATTTTTACCTGCCTTCCTTCTATCCATCCTATCATTCACGTATCCCCCCACCTACCAGTCTTCCTCCCTCCCTCTTCCTCCCCCCTCTATTATTGCTGGGGTAAAGAGTGCTGTACAATTTTTGCCTTTCCCTTTCTGTATAAATTATGCTTTTTATTTCATCTCATCATCACAAAAGTATTCTGGCTAGTTTGTTTGTAATAAGTTTCTTCACGATAATTCTGACTTTTCAAGGCTTACATTTTTCTCTAGTGAAATGTAATCTACTCTCTATTACCTCACAGAGTTTAATCTATAATGTCATCAGTATGTAAGTGGCCCGAATTCATTTGTGAGTTAGAAACCATCAAGATCCTTTGCCTGTTTTCTCCCTCCTGGCCTGACTGCAAGAGAAAAAGCATGGCTCAATTCTTATAGAAATGAAAATATAAAGTGTGCTCTTCCCAAGTACAGTAGCATCCAGGTCCATTTATTTGTATACTTGCTGTCTATAATGCCTGAATATGCGAGTCAACAGTATGATCCTCCCCATGGTATAGATGACCCAGAGCTGTTCTTTCCTGTCATGTCCTCAGGACTCCCCAGAGTACCATGAAGCCATAAGGAGAGGTGCCGCACACTCCAGGTTACATCACCCCACAATACTTGGGCAGGAGAACCCGAATACACTGTTTAAAGAGAATGACCCTCTCCTTTCTTTTTTCATTTATGCTTTCATTGGGAGTGAAAAGTGTTCCTTTGCTTTATTATTTACTTTTTAAATTATGAATTTATTGATTTTAGAGAGAGGAAGGGAGAGGGAGAGGGAGAGGGAGAGGGAGGGGGAGGGAGAGAGAGAGAGAGAGAGAGAGAGAGAGAGAGAGAGAGAGAGA